AAAAGTATCCAATGTACACAGCCCTATTATGAAATTAATTTATAGTTTTCATATGAAATCTATAACCTAATAACAGCCTAAGAATATGGGGAGGAGGGAGGGAGAGGGGAAGGGGAAATGGGTGGAGGGCAGAGGATTGGAGGGATCACTTCTGTGGTTTATCTGTTTATCTTACAAGGGTACAAGTGAATCTTTCTAAGAGAATCTTTAGAAAGATAGAATCTTTCTAAGAGAATCTTTAGAAAGATAGAATCTTTCTAAGAGAATCTTTAGAAAGATAGAATCTTTCTAATATGAACGTTTTAACACAATAACTAAGAAAATGACATGAAGGCTATGTTAACCAGTTTGATGGAAATGTTTCAAATTGTACGTGAAAACACCACACTGTACCCCAGAAGTGCATTAATGTACATAGTTCATAGTTACCATTCAATTAAAAAAAAAAAAAGGAAGAAATAAAACTTTATTTTGTCTTTGTAGATGACATGATTGTCAGTGTAGAAAATCTGAAAGAATAACAACAAAAATTTCCTGGAACTAAAAAGCAACTATAGCAAGGTTGTAAAATACAAGGTAATATGCAAAATTCAATCACATTCCTGTGTATCAGCAATGAACAAGTGGAATCTGAAATTAAAAACATAATACATTGTGAAGCACGTGGGTTGTGCAATGGTTACTTGCCTGAGGTTAATGAGACAAAACACATACGTGACAAGCTACATAAACCAGGTTTATTACTCTCAGACAGACAGCAAGAGCCAAGGGAAGCCTAGGATTCGTGACAAGCAGGTGCCTGGAGGCTCAGAAAGCTGCCTAGGGCAGAGGGAATAGCAACAGTGCTTTCCCCTACTTGCACTACTGCTGAGGGACCCTAGAAAGCAGCCCACTGTGGGGTTTATGCCCCAGGGGACACATTAAAGGGCATGGGAGGTGGGGACAGGAACAAAGCCCAGGCTGTTCTAGCCAGCTCCTCCTTATCTTGGCATGTCATGTTTTCAGCACATTCTACAGTTATTCTTGAGAACTACAAGCAAGAAAGGGGGAAGACCTGGGTCAGTCCAAGGCCACCTGGAGAACTGTCCTTCAGTCAGCACCACTGCCCCCAGGAAGTGAAACACTCAGGTATAAATCCAACAAAGCATACACCAGATCTGTATGAGAAAAGCAACAACAAATACTGAAAAACTGAGGCAAAGAGGCTACATCCCTTCCCTAAGGTCATAGGGCTCAGGAAAGGAATGGCTTCACATGAACGGGCGGCACTGGAAGCAGGAAGCCAGGCTCCAACACCCTGCCTAGACCCCCTCACTATGCTTACTGCTGAGATTTCTGGGCATTTGTGCTATCGATGAAAGAAAAGTCACGTTTTTAAAGAATTAAAGTTAGTTTTATTCAGAAGTCTTACTGAGGACTCCAGACTGTGGCCTACTCCCCAGGCCAGTCCCATCAGACCACCCCAGCACACTGCCTCAGCCCACATCCTGTACCATAGCGAGAGCTCAGTGCAGCCAAGCACGTCAGACCTGCTCAGAGGTTACACAGAAGTGGAATCGCACCAAGATTTGAGTGTAAGAGGCACCTGGTAATAGATCACAGAACTACTAACTACTAACTTCATCAGAAAAAGGGAGATTAGGGCAACCTGTCTCTTAAGGAACGCAGTGACTCAGGAGAGAGACATGGAGGGTTGGGGGTTGTATGCTCCATCCTACTTTGTCTTGGAAGCATCTTTCCAGAGAGCTGCTGGTAGTCATGGAGTCAGGGGCACCAGGAGGTTATTCTGGCAAGCAGAAAGGAGCAAACATGGCTTCTCACATTTGCTACTTTGTTTCACAGTGCCTGAATCATTTGCTTATCCCTGCCAACCAATGATTCTGCCATCAGGGGTGAGCTCTGGAAAGATAATTATGGTTGGGTCATCAGACTCTGCCCTGTCCTTTATTAGATGAGGAGCCTGAGGCCTCCAGGAAGGGACTTCCTTGAGGTCACTAAATAAGCCC